GGACAACAGTTTCCCCTTTTTCAAAAACAGGATAACAATAATTATCTCAGCTTCCAAGAATTGAATGTGAGAATTGTAAGAATTAAATGAGGTCCCAGGAGTAAAAGTACATAATTTAGTACTTTTAAAATCTGTACATCACATGTTTCTCTATTCTCAAAATTTTCCAAAGCAAACTGTACTGTTTTTTAAATTAAACTTTTGAGATATTTGTAGATTTACATGAAAGAGAGATCCCATGTCACCCTTCAGTTTGCCCCAACTATAGTCTTGTAAAACTATAATACAATCTCAAAGCAGAACATTGATAAAGTCAAGAGAGAGGATATTTCTTTCACCTCGAGGATGCTTCATGTTGCTCTTGTATAGTCACACCCACATCCCTCCCACCTCACCCTCTCCTGAATCCCTGGTAACCACTACTTTGTTCTCTATTTCTATAATTTTATCACTTCAGGAATGTTATACGGGACAACTGGATATCCACATGCAAAAGAATGAACCCCGACCCCTACCTTCACACCATATACAAAAATTAACTCAAAATACGTCAAAGACCTAAATGTCAGAGCTAAACTATAAATCTTTAGGGAGAAAACATGAGTAAATCTTTGTAACCTTGGATTAGGCAATGATTTCTTAGATATGACCATATATCCTAAAGCACAAGCAACCTAAGAAATAATTGAAAATTGGATTTCACCAAAATTAAAACCTTTTGGACTTCAAAGGATATCATCAAGCAAGTGAAAAGGCAACCAGCAGAAGAGGAGAAAATATTTGCAGAAGATCTATCTGATAAAGATCTAATATCTAGAATATATACAGAACACAAACTCAACAGTGATGCAAAGAAAGAGATAACCAATCAAAATATATGCAATTGGTTTGAACAGACATTTCTCCAAAGAAGCTATACAAATGGCCAATAAGCACATGAAAATACGTTCAGCGTCATTAGCCATTAGGGAAATGCAAATCAAAATCACAATGAAAGGGCTTCCCTGGTGGCGCAGTGGTTGAGAGTCCACCTGCCGATGCAGGGGACGCGGGTTTGTGCCCCGGTCCGGGAGGATCCCACCTGCCGTGGAGCAGCTGGGCCCGTGAGCCATGGCCGCTGAGCCTGCGCGTCCGGAGCCTGTGCTCCGCAACGGGAGAGGCCACAACAGTGAGAAGCCCGCGTACCGCAAAAAAAAAAAAATCAGGGCTTCCCTGGTGGCGCAGTGGTTGGGAGTCCGCCTGCCGATGTAGGGGACGCGGGTTCATGCCCCGGTCTGGGAAGGTTCCACATGCCGCGGAGCGGCTGGGCCCGTGAGCCATGGCTGCTGAGCCTACGCGTCCGGAGCCTGTGCTCCGCAACGGGAGAGGTCACGGCAGTGAGAGGTCCACGTACCGCAAAAAAAAAAAAAAAAAAAAAAAAAA